TAACAAACAAACAAAAAAATAATATATTAGGATATCAACAATAATAACATATTAAGGACTATTAATAAAAAATATTGTTAAGGAATGTTGTCAAAGATATTATACCTTGAAATACTTAACTTTCCATTCACTAGCGGTAGGATTACCCTTCATCCATTTTTCAAATTTGTGAATGGTGAAAAAGCTTTTAAGCAGATTTTTTTTGGTTCTATCAGTAACCTGTAGTTGCAAAGATAAGTGATAAAATCAGATGAAGAAACATTTCTTCTAATAAACAATAATGATGATTGAATCAAAGTAGTTACCTTGATAATAAGAGTGATGAACTGGGACATAAAAGGAGGTTTAATCTTTAATAATTCTGACCAAAATGTGTGAAACACAATAACACATTAAGAATTAAACCCTTTATGTGTGATTCGTCATGGTCCTACACAGACCACACATCAAAAAACAGGCAAGTTAGTTGGGTAAAGCTTAGTTGACTAAAGAGGAGATTATTGGTGTCATTTTATTTAGCTTAACACTGTGTATGTAGTGTTGGGAATTAAGCACACAACACACACAAATAATTTGTGAGAAAAACGAGAGAAATGAAACACGGACGACACACAAGAATTTAACGTGGTTCGGTTTCCATACTCCACGGTTGCAACAGGAGGATTTTTATTTCACTTGGGTTTGTGGAGGCTTGGGCTTGACTCTTAGGCCCAGCCCATATTATGTAACACTAGTTTCTTTTCTCCATATTGAGCACTTGTACTTTAATTCGGTGAGACACAACAAAGTGAAATAGAAATACTCCTGTTGCAGCCGTGGAGTAGGGAAACCGAACCACGTTAAATTCTTGTGTGTCGTTTGTGTTCCATTTTTCTCGTTTCTCACAGATTATTTGTGTGTGTTGTGTGCTTAATTTCCAACAAGTCGTATCAGAGAGCTAGATTGTTCAACACGAGCACAAATTGGGAGAAATCTTGTCACCTAGGGTTAGAGCCGCCGTAGCAGCCGTCCGTGCGCAGAGTTCACCACCGCGAGCAGCTGTCGTCCACCGAGCCGCCGCCGCCGTCACGCGTGCAGCGCCGCGTCTAGCGAGAAAGAGAATCGGCATGTGTGGTGATCTGAAGGTGAATCTGCCAGTGTGGAGAAATTGTGAGGTCACTCAGCCACCACCGTCGGGAATCGTCCAGATCTAAAGGTGCTGCCGTTGACCCAGTTGCCACCGAGCTATCCGGTTCAGTACAGATCGCCTCATATTGCGCCGCCACCGGATTAGATCGAACAACCGATCAGGAGATGTGAAGTCTCAGGTGAAAAAAAGGGAAGGAAAAAAAGGGCCGTGGGCCAAATTTGAGTTTCAATTGGGCAGCCATTTGTTTTTCCTTTTTTTCTGGAGTTTGGGCTGATTTAGTTTTTGGGCTGAGTTTTCTGACGAAATTACCAAGATCTGAAATTAGTTGTACCGGGTATCTCGTCTAGTCGTTTTGAGATGGCAGA